GTCATAAATGTCTAATGTATCAAATTTGTTCTGAAGCGATCTGTAAATTCAGGTGGGATATATTTTGACTTTTCCATGGTCTGTTACCATATATGTAATGAATTTGATTTCTGTGTATTACATCTGGTGATGTCCATGTATATGTTGTTATTATTGTTAAGTGAAGTACTGTCCAGTCAATTCTGACCCATAGCGACACTGTGTAGGGTTTCCGAGGAGCAGCTGGTAAGCTTGAACTGCTGACCTTGCAGTTCAAACGGCTTTGCAGTCTGACACATTAACCCACAGCATCACACCAGGACTCTATACAGTCATCTTTTATGTTGTTTTAAAAGGGTATTTGCAATGGACAAGTCACTGGTCTTGCAAAATTCTATCATGCAATCTCCAGCGTCATTTCTATCATGAAGGCCATATTTTCTTACTGCTGGTTCTTCCTCTTTGTTTCCAACAGTTGCATTCCTATAATTTCATAGGAATAGACAGGAATTTCCCATAAGTTGCTTGTTTAGAAGGGACCATGCTAATTGGGTGCATGTTCAACGTTTTTTAAAGATGAATTCCACCACAAAGGCCTCTGGTAGGGGCAGGCAAAACTTATCCAAGTATGTCACACACATAGGTAATTTTTCAGGATTCCAGTTCAACCCTCTGCCAAGGACTGGTGTTCTCCTTTGCCCCAGTAAAAGGTCATCCTTTGAGATGGGTAAAGCTAGTGTTGTTGTTAGGTGTCATTAAGCTTGTTACAATTCAAGCAATCCTATGTGCAAGAGAATGGAACACTGCCTAGTCCTGCACCATCCTCATGATTGAGCCCATTGTGGTGCCATGGTGTCAATCCTTATTGGGGGTCTTCATCTATTTGCTGACCTGCCACTTTACCAAGAATAATGTCTTTTCCCAGGGACTGGTCCCTCTGATAATATGTCTGAAATATGAGAGACATAGTTTTTCCATCCTTGCCTCCAAAGAGCATTCTGTCTGCATCTCTTCCAACACCGACCTGCTTATTCTTCTGGTAGCACACAGTACTTCAATATCCTTCTCCAGCACCATTAATTCAAATACTCCATTTCTTCTACCATCTTCCTTATTCATTGTCCAACTTTCACATGCATATGAGGCTTTTGAAAATACCCTGGCTTAGGTCAGGCGCACCTTAAGCCCACTTGGGATGACTTCAAGTACATCTTCTCCCTCCAGACACACAGCTCCGCGGCTTCTCTCGCTGGGTCATTGCCTCCGCTCGGCTGTGGCTCCCTCCGGCCTGAGGACTTCTGGCTGCTGGCTGCTGGCCTCTGCGGCTGGATTGATTCAGAAATCACAGTATTTTGCTTCCACAGGCAGATTTTTTTTTTTACAGGTGGGCGCAGGAAACTGGCGCCCGGAATCTTAAACAAGATTCAAAGCTCTGCAGCTGTTCTGCGGACCGCTCTTTATCTACTATTTTTGGGTTTGGGCGGAGGATCTTTCAGTATCTGTCTCTGCTTATCCGCCTCCAAACCGGAGGTCCCATATTCTTTTTTATTTATACAATTCCATTCAAGTTACATATAAATAGGACTCCTGGTATGCCACTGTAGGATCAGCACTGGACTACGAACCACAAGGTCTACAGTTCAAACCCACCAGTTGCTCCTAGGAAACCCTATACAGGGTCTCCATGAGTGGGAACTGACTTGACAGCACTCAACAGCAACAAAAGCATAAAAATATTTGTCCAAATGTGAGAAATTAATGTATAATATAATCTTACAAAAAATACACATTTTATCTATTTCAACTTAACATTTTTTTCTATTCCATGCTGCCAAAGAATAGAAATTTGGTTGAAACTTTCCTTCCTACTTTTTGCCATTTCCATTAATCTGATTCTGACTCATAGTGACGCTAGCGATGCTACAGAACAAGGTAGAATTGCCCCCGTAGGATTTGTTGTTTTCATTGTTAAGTGCTGTCGTGTCAGTTCCGACCCTTAGTGATCCTGCGTACGGTTTCTGAAGAGTGGCTGGTGAGTTTGAACTGCCGACCTTGTGGTTCAAACTGATTTTGCTGTCCACAGCATCACACCAGAAATCCACACTTAATAGTGCCTTTTTGACAAAGTGCAGTCCTAGATTCATCAGCATTTCCAAGGTTATTGTTGTTGTTGTTGTTAGGTGCCATAGAATCGGTACTGGCTCATAGTGACCCTATGCACAGCAGAACAAAACTCTGCCCGATCCTGGGCCAACCTCACAATCTTTGCTACTTTTGAGCCCATGGATGTTGCCACTGTGCCAGTCCATCTCGAGAGTTTTCCTCTTATTCTCCAATCTTCCATTTTACTAAACATGATATTCTTTTCCAGTGATGGGTCCCTC